AGACTCCTGCGCGCCACAGACCTGGCCCAGAGAGGGTCCTTGGAGAGGTCATGTCACCCTCCTGAGCACGTTGCCTTCGGACTCCCAAGGGCTGTCTTCTCAAAATCCCCAACAAAAAACCACATCAGGAGTATCTGCTCAATTACCCGTGGCAGAGGCGATGGGTCCTCCCTGCCGAGACTAGAATCCCAGCCCCATGAGGCCATCGAACAGTTGGCCAGAGGTCCGGGCAGCAGTGGCTGAAGCCCCTGTACACTGGGACTGTGGCCAGGTTGGGGAGGGTGGACGGGGGGAATGAGAAGAAGGGGATTGTTTGTAACAACCCAGGGGTGCAGCTAAAATCTCATCGGCCTCCAGCCATTCACCGTGACAATATTTTCACCCTCTTCCCAGTCCAATTTTTAATGAGGAGATTCCCTTCTCTCTTCATCTCCCTCTGTCTTGCCCTTTCTGCCAAAATTGCGCTCCTTCGGAAACAAATAGTTCTGTTTCTTTCTCGGAATGCCTCCGGAGGCCAGGAACTCTCACCTCCTCCTTAACAACGTCTGGTCAGTGCTTGGAATGTGATTTACGTTACTGACCACAGCGCCGGAGAGCAAAACAAAGGCAGCGCGGCCCGGACGGACGAGCACCCTGGGCGGCGGCCGGGAGAACTGCGGTGCCTGCGGCGGCAGGGAAGGGTGAGAGCCCAGAGCTGGCGCCGCTGCCCTCTCCTTCTTCGGGCTCGTGCTTGGGCAGGGAACGTTTCGTGGCAACCCTCTCGCAGCCGCCGTGGGTGGGGGTGCGCCGTGGCCATGGCATCTGAAGGGAGCCGCTCCACTCCTCTGGGATTTGTTGCAGGGATCGCAGGCTTCGGGGCTGACTCACCCACCGAAGGCTGGACGCAAGCCAAGGAGCAACGGCAAGACTCCCGGGTCACACACGCTGCCCGGGCTGTGCCAGCTCAGCCTGCTGGAGCCAGCCAGGGCTGCTAGGCGGGCAGAGGGCGACCCAGGGGGCAGGACCTTCTTGCAAGTATGGAGGCTTTTTCTCACTGGGGCAAGAACGCTTTCCCCTCCCTTGGATGGATTACAGAGCAAATTGTTCCTGCCTCTCTTCAAAGGCCAGTGAGGTTAGGCAACTGCTCCTTCCTTCTCCAGAAAGCTTAAAAATACAGGCAGGCTTCTTGCCCTCCATAACCTTACCTGGAGCTCTTCTGCGCCTCCAGGCCGGGCCTCGAGATGGGACCACGCCTCCTCTGCCTCCTCTTTTATTTGCTGACCCCCCCAGCCTGCCCAGGGGACCTTTTCCTTAGAAAGACTTTACTGGCAGTAGCTACAATAGAAACCAGAAGGGGTAACAAAAGTAACCCCAGGAATGTGACAACGTTTTGGGCAATTTCACAAAGATCTTACAGTTGCTGTCTTCAGCTTAGACATCAAGCCAGATCCCTCCGGGCCTCCAGCTAGCTCACAGAGTCACACAAACTCTTCTAGCTGTTTCCTCTCTCTTCCAGAACCTTCTATCAAGTGCTGAAGCTTTGTCCAAGCACCCCGCCCAGACCCCTCACCCACATGCTTCAAGGGGCAGCTCTCCCAGCTCATAAGGACGTCATTCCCCCGTGGCCTCACCCTGCAGGGAAGGGAGGGGAAACCTATTCCTCTCTGAACCCCAAACTGAAACCAAACAGTCAGCTACCAAAGTCTAAACCATAACCATGCCCGGAAACCCAAAGTGTTAAAGCTGAAGGCGCCCTTAGAAAAACATTAACTCTACCCTTCCCACTTTGCAGATAGGAAGTGAGGTTCCAAGAGAAGATCTTGGACCTGGGACCAACACAAGTTTCTAGATGTTTTTTAAAATGCATCACACCTCTCCCATGCCTGTCTATGTGCTAAAATTGCTGAGTCAAAACAGAACTAGGAAGAGGGAAACAGTCTCCAAAGAGAGGGAAACTTTCCCTCGGAAACTCTGGGTTCCTTTAAGGCAGGGGGCCCCTCTGGCCTCTTCGTGCCTCACCCCCTCCCCAAGGTGCAGCCCCAGAGCCCTCCCTCAGGCGCTGCACACCCGCTCCGCCGGCCCCCAGGCCCATCCCCTTTAACAGAGCCGCTGTCTCCTTCTTCAGTCTCCGCTCAGGGGCCCCGTCCTCCGAGCCCTTCCCTGGTTCTTCCACAAACACCCAGACCCAGGTTCTCTTCTCGGCCTCTGTCGGCATCTTCTTCGCACTTCCCACCATCTGTCGTGACCCCGTCCCTCTGACTGTTGACCTGAGCTCTGCCCCTCCGGCCACCTGGGAGCCGCACAGGACCGGGCCTGTGCCTGTCACAGTCGCTGCCGCCTCCATAGCTCCTAGCACCGTGGCTGGCACAGGCGGGCATTCCGTGAACACGGGGAATGCATGATGAAGGAGATGAAGCCACCAAGGCAGGACACGGTGTTAAATACTCACGACTTTATTAGGAGTAGGCCGTTGTCATGTCAGCAGCCAGCTCCCACGTATACACAGTATACACAGCCCAGCCAGCACCCGGGTCCTCCACCCTCTGCAGTACATGGAATGCAAAAGAACCCCACATAGAGGGGGTCTACCAATGACAGTGTCCAGTGCCTTCGGGAGCCAACTCCCAAGCTGGGGACACTCAGGTCTCTCAAACTGTCCTCGGCTTCTTCCAGCCCCCCACTCCAGTATGACGAAGTCCATAAGGGTCTGTTTGGGTCAGACTCCTCCAATCAGTGCACGTGACAGGCAGAGGAGGCCAGGGAATCCTGAGCCCAAAGCCGTGTTGGTCCCCACCCCACCGAAGAAGCTGCCGGAGCTCCCAGAATGTCCTTCTTCTCCCAGAGACACGACATACCACCTCAACTTTTTATTGCATTGCCAGAAACCTGTGCTTTGGGTCTCCTCTCTGGATTAACGAAATGTTCAAAAACAAGACAAATTTCCCAAGTTGTCTTGGTCATACTTCTTTTAAAAAGGAAAAAAGAAAAGAAAAAAGAAAAAACACCACAACAGAAAAGAGCATTGAGGCCTGGCTTGTGTCAGGAGCAAAAGTGGTTGTTCCTCCTTGAAGTGATTTGTAAAGTGACTGATGGCAGAAGCCACTCTGCTGGGGGCAGCCACCCCCTGACAGCACCTGCCTCCCACCCTCCCTTCGCCCCTGCCCACTCTGCACAGGCCCCCGTGCACCCTCCTCACCGCAGAGGGGATGCCCCATGCCCAGAGCACAGCGCTGTCATCGGCTAGCAGAGCTCTGCTTCCACCTGGTGCCCTGGGTCCCTTTTGTCCCTATGGTCGCAGTGCTCACCGGTGCAGGGGGACTCCCCCTTGCTCAAACCTTCAGGGGAGACTGCAGCCCTGCCCCAGAGAGCTGCACAGCCCCAGTCCCTGCAGGAGCTCTGTCCAAGGGCTCCAGCCCAAGACTCAACAGGTGAGAACATGAGAACAGCATCCCAGAGTCCTGGCAGGAGGGATGGATGGTTGGTTTGTGGATTTCGACTACAAGGGAAAACCACATCAAAGGACTGAACCCCTCTCCCCAAGGAAGACACATGCTTTGATCTTATCTCCATGAAGTTCTCCACTGAGGTCCTGGACTCATCACCTATACTCAGAAGAAAAATATCCCATGTCCACACTGGGATCTGCACCTTCGAGAAATACCCTGCTTGGCCAAAGGAGCTCGAATCTCAAAATATCTCCCCACTTGGACCTGTAGGAAATGTCTGGGTTTCTACTGCCCCGCCACGTCTAGAAGACAGACAAGTCTCTGGCAGTTCCCCCGGGTCAAGTCATTGATTCCTGGTGCCTCCTGAAACCTGCTCCCAAGAAACCTGAAGAGAGAGACCCTGTCTTCGTATGTGGGGCCCCAGCAGGTGTCCAGGCTGTGCGAACAGGAAGCCATGCTCACACTTCTCTCTGTGGCGGAGCAGCAGCTCAGGCTATGAAGATGACAGCTGGGTGTGGTGAAAGGATCAGGGTGCTACTGTCCCAGGGAAGGGACTGGGTTGGGTTCCCAGAGAGAATAATCTGAGGTAGCAAACAGTGAACCCCATCTCCAAGGCCTGGGGAGGATGCCACGTGACGTGCCTGAAACAGACCGCAGTGGCTGTGGGGATGGAGCCGCATTTGCAGGCACGTGGGCGTCCAGCACCTGGCCCTCCAGGGCACATCCCCTTGCAGTGGGTACAGGACTGTGGCCACTTTGGAGGTTCTCTGCAGCAACGCAGAGTCTACAGCACCAGCCTCATGTACACGTGCCTCTCTGGAGGAAGAAATCATCAGAACCAGCACCTCCTCCTCCCTGTCCCACAGTGGCATCCCCCAAAGCCAGGCCCAGAGCTCAGCACCAACCACCCTAACCCCAGGGACGGCAGAACCCTCCAGATCTTTCCTCAAACTCCCTGCTTCCGTCGTGGAAGCCATCACCTTCTAAGCGTCAGCGTCTTTTGTAATGGCAGCTCTCTCTTAAAGAAGGTGGCTGGCTCCCTGCCAACTTTCTACCTGCAGAGCCTCGGAGGACACCTGAGTGGCTGGACGTCTTCCCACTAGTCCTAAGGCCTGGACGTGAGAGGGAGGAGAGGCTGATCCTTTGGGGAGGGTCAAGCGTAGAAGATGAGAAATCTCGGGACTCCCTGGGCTCACCAACCTCTTCCCAAACGCAGTGGCCAGGCTCCAGTGACAGCTGACCTCACTCTCCCCTCGGCTCCCACCCACCCGGCCAGTTTTCATTGCTCAGTCCGTGTCAGTCAGCAAAGAAAAGTGGGCTAAAAGCACCGTGAAAACCCTGCCTTGTTCAGAGATGGCTCAGAGCTCCCGGGGCTGCCCAAGGGTGCCGAGCTGCTGGGCCATGGCTCTTCCAGCAGCCTGTGCATCCCGGAGGGGTCCCTGAAGTACTGCCTGGGAGGCGCCCATCTCCAGGTCCCTCGGAAACTGGGCCTCAGCACCTTCTGCCAGCACCTGCACCTCTCTCCCCGCAACTGGGCCCCGAGGAGCGGGCCTGAGGTAGACTGTGCGGCGGTTAGCTCCCCTGGCCAGTCCAGGAGGACGAGGGAACCTCTCACCCAAGCCCACGGTCCTTGTCCCTGGATGTGGGTGACGTCGTGGCGTGAGCCCCTGGCCACCATCCTCTGCCCACTGCTCCAGCTGGCCAGAACCAGCACACCAGTGGGGCAGAGAGTGAGGGGGAGAAGGGGGCAACCCCGCTCAGCATGGTCTCAAGATGCAGAAGTCTAGTTCCTGGGGCTTGCGGCGCAGGTTGCACTGGTCCCGGGCCAGCAGCCGGCCTCCGTGGCCCATACACTTGAGCGGACGCCTCTTAAATCCCCGGCCGCAGCTCTTGGAGCAGTGCGACCAGGCACCGAGCTCCCAGGTCGGGCAGGGCTCCCCACAGGCCCGCGTCTCCACTGGCCGGTGGGCTGCCTCACAGGCAGAGGCCACACGCTGCCCGGGGGAGCCCCGACAGTCCACCGCCCGCCGCTGCAGGCCACTGCCACAGCTCACAGAGCAGGGCCCCCAGCTGCCTGCCACCCAGCGCGCTGGGGGTCTGTCATCCGGCTGCTCCACCTGGTTGGAAAGACTGAGGACGCTGTTGTGCAGCACAGACGGGCCCCGGGGGTCCTTGGGGTGGGAGGGCTTGTCCTCCTGAGGCTCTTTGGGCAGGTAGAAGGAGTAGCGGACCCGGGGTGGCGTCATCTTCCCCACGGAGAGGACCTCCACGGTCAGGGGCTCCAGGATGGGCCGGGAAGCCTGCAGGCTCTCCACCGCCGTGCCCGTGCCGCTGTACCGCAGCAGGCTGCCCTTCACCACCAGGTCCCGCTCCACCGCCGACACCACGAAGTGCCCGTTGAGCAGGTACTTGCCTTGGCTGTTCTTCAGGGCCAGGTAGTTGTCATCCCCAATCAGCCCCTTGTAGCCGCGCTGGCGGATGTCGATGCTCGAGGCGCCCACAGGGATGGCCACCACGAAGTTGTAGCCGTGCCTGGGGTCAGAAAGGGGGATTGTACGTCAAACAGAAGCGTGGACGTAGGACCTCACGCTCCAGGATCTTTTTTCGTCAGTAAATTTATCTTTTGGTGAATTCTAGCATGGGAGTAAAAGCACAGGGTTTGGAGTCAGGGAGATTCCTGCTCCTTGCGTAGCGGCTGGTCTCAGGTCACGTGGCTTTTCCAAGCCTCCGTTTCCTCACCTGTCATGTGCAGGTCGTAATCACACATTGGATTGTAATTGGATTAAATAAGCCACAGCACATAAGCATGTAGCACAGTGCCTGGCACACGGCGAGGACCTAACAGACAGCAGCCATGGAAGGGGGAGGAAAGGAAGGAAATCATTCTCTGGTCCCCAAGCCCAAGGCCGGGAGCTTGGTGCAGTGGAAGCGCACGGCCCTGGAGGCAGGGATGGAGCTCAGCCCCGGTTCAGATACCAATTCCCTGGTGACTGTAAGCAACTCAGTGTCTGTGGGTTCCAGTGTCCTCGTCTGTACCACGAGTGGGTTAAGCTAGATGACTTCTAAGGTTCCTGCCAGCTCCAATAGCCTGTGCAAGGAACATGTGCCCCTCACAGTGAAGCAAGTCTGGGGCGTGTGCCTTTCACTCCCCGGGTCCTCCCCACTGCAGGTCCCTGTGAAGGGCAGCCTGGAACGCCAGCTGTCTACAGCACCTGAGCTCCCGGAGAAGGGGCTGGGTGTCCTCCCTGTGTGTCACCCACCTAGCGCCTCCACAGAGATGTCGTATCCAGGGGGACAGTCAAGGCTCCAGGACAGACATCTTGGCCTTCCCATAGTCAGCACCTGGACTCCCAAGTTTTCGGGGCCAACCTCCAACTGGGACCTCAGGTGTCCTGCCTGCCCCCACTTCTACCAGAACTTGGGTCAGGACTTTCCAAGGGGAATGTCTTGACCTCAGAAAGCCAAGCCAGGAGCCTCAGACTCTGGAGCTTGGGCTACAAGAGCCCAGGGACATCTCCCAGCAAGTGGAGGCTCTTTCAGTCCCAGCCTCTCACCCGCTGTCCTTGGCAATTGATTGTCATCTCACCTCAGTGCCATCCGCAAGGGCAGGGCCTCGGGCCCAGGGAGAGGGTGGCAGCTGTCAGGTTCAGCCTTATCATCATCATGATGGACAGGTACTAAGCATTTATTATGCACCCGGTACTATGTGAACCATTTTAGTTGGACCAATTCCCCTACTCCTGTCAAGAGCACATGTGAAATATCTTAGTATTATACCCACTTTACAAGTGAGGACTCCAGAAGTCTAGAGACTGAGCCACTTGCCCAAGCCCGAGCAGAACATGGGGAACAAAGCTCTGAATGCCAGTCAGTCTTACTCTAGGATGCTAGAGAGACCCTAAAGACTCTGCCATCTCCCTGAATATCATCTGCTAGGTGGGTCCCAGTCGAGCATTCGCCTTTGCATTCATGTTAGTTTGCTGAATGAAGAAACGAGTGAGTGAGTGAGAGAGTGAACATCAGCCCTAGAAGGTATGAGTGGCGTCCGCAGCAAGGGGCCTGGCCAGGATCTGATATTCACCCCCTATAACCCGAGCTTCCAATGCCCAGGGGGAACTCCACTCACCCCCTCCCGCCCGCTCCCTGGCGGTGCCCTCCAGGACCCAGACTCACATGGGCTTGGTGAAGACTCCGGTCACCTTCTTGCAGCTCTTGTTGTCTCCGCCGCACACCCCACACTTGTCAAACCTCTTCTTGGAGCCCAAGTTGCCGTCGCAGCCAGCCTTGATGCACTTGCCTTGGACACAGACGGAGGTAGAGTCAGGAGTACACGGCGTACCGTCCACCACCTGCAGCACCCAGGGGGGAAGAGAAGGAAGAGCCGGGCCGCTCAGCCAGCAGCTCTCCCGAAGACCTGGTCCCTGTCCGGCTCTCTGGCCCCCCGTGCGCTCACCTTGGGTGCCAGCACATAGAAGTAGCCGGTGCCGTTGGCTCGGCAGATGAGCTTGCACTTGTCCCGGGGAGACACGCCTGAGTACTTGGGCACCCAGGCCACGGCGAGAGTGAGCCGATTGGTGCTGTGGTTGTAGCCATTGAAAGCCTCGCACTGCTCCTCCCGGAAGCTCTTGCCAGAGGCTGGGGAGGGAGGAAGCACGTGAAGGAGGCTAAAGGCAGTGGCTGGAGGGCTGCAAAGGAGAGCCTCCCTCCCAGGGGCCCTGCCTGCCAGTCTCGGAACAGCCCTCTGCACCCTCGGTGGTTTGATGCTCCTCTGCGAAGCTATGACCTGCCCATCTCCAAGGACGAAAGCAGGCTGGAACCAAAGCATGCAGGGCACCGACGCATCCCTCGAGCAGTACGCTACCTCCTCAGTGACCTAGCCTGCAACTCCCTCCAGGGCAGGTTTCCTAAACATTTTTTGTGCTATGGAATCTTTCAGTGGTCTATTGAGACTATTTTCAGACTAATGTTATTAAATGCATAAAATAAATTATATTTACAAAGCACATCAATTCTATTGATATGCAACTATCAATGTATTTTGAAACAAAACCGTGATACATGTGTTTCTTTATTAATGCATTAAATGACAAGATTCAATAATGAATCTAATAACTACTCTAATTTTGAAGTAGGGATGAGCATAAATGGCATTTTGAGAATTCTGCAACAACTGAAATGTCATATGAAAATATCCACAATTCCTATTGGTGACAAAGTCACAGGTACTCCTACCACTATTGTAGTTTGTTGCCTAACTAAAGAAAATACTAAATTTTAGATGGAAAGGTTAGTAAAAAGAAAGATGTAGTTTTTTTCCCACCAAGTGTCCTTGTCAGGACTCAGCTAAGAGGACTTATAGGGTCTCGCTCCCTTGAGCCTTTTAGTCTCCAAATCTGTGCCCCCAGAAGGACACACCCTTGCCAAAGGTGAGCGGATGCAGGAATGGTCCCGAGAGGAATGTGCACCTCTCCACTCCTAGGCTTTGTCTTGGCGGTTGGAATCTCGACTAGTCCTTTTGTGGCCGTGAATTACCCAGAGTTATTGGGGGGGGTTGGCTCCAGCCTTGTCTGCCCTGGGCCCAGGCCACTGCTGCCGTCCACTCCTCACCTGAGCTGGGGCAGGGCTCCAGGTTGCAGGATCGGTATTTCACCCTCACTCCCTCGCAGTACTTGCCCCCGTTGGCAGGGGTGGGGTTGCTGCACTGCCTCCGGGCCAGCTGCACGCCCCCACCACAGGTGCGCGAACAGGGCCCGTAGGCCTCCCACTTGGCCCAGGAGCCGTCCACCTGTGAGGAAGAGCCTGTTATACTCCTCATGCCCAGCCCCTTAGCTGGTAGAAGAGCCGCACTGGTACAGCCTCCAAGCTCCCAGCCCACCCCACCTGAATCAATTCACTTTGTACCGCAAGGGAAAAATGATACGCAAATCGTCCGTGTGCACAGAGCCCGCACTGCAACGGATTAATTAGCAAATACCACCTGCTCCTTGGCACAAACGAGGCCACTCAAAAGAGAGAGGCCTCTTGGGTGGTGGAGTGAGGCACACAAGTTTCGCGCTGGCCTCTGCCCTCACCACACCAAGCGCAAGGCTTGAGCAGGTGGGGCATCGCCTGGGATCGCAGGCGATACTCAGGTCTGAGGTGATGGGTGACAGGAATGATGTAACGTGCAGGAAAAGTCCTAGCGCCATGTACCCCGCGCAGGGGTTCAAAGGGCGCCCATATCTACCGTCAGTTCGTTCACAGGAGTCTCAGCCCCCGGCCTCGCCTGTAAACAATGTCACCTGAGATACCTGAATATTTTTATTTGTGAATGTTCTATAATTCAGACTTTATACCAGACCAAACTGACCTTAACCCCAATCAGGAGCTGCATTTGAGAAAGTGTCACTATAACCCATTCTACTGTTTAAGAGGAGACACAGGCAAGACACTACTAAGCAATTCTAAAAGTCTGTCTATTTGCCTTTGGGGTGAATTATGCAGTGGGTTTTTGTTTTTTTAGTTTCTTTAAGAGGATAGCGAGGGGATAGAAAATTTGCAGTCATCATTATGTTTTTCTTAGATGACAGTAAAATGATTTTTGCCCCCTGAACACACATCGGTTGGGCACTAGAGGAAGAGCCCAGCTGTAAAGGCCTGGGGTAAACCCTGTGTCACGGATCACCCCTGACGTGACGAACACGGCGCTAACCGAGAACTGGCCGCATGGGGTGAGACTGCTTTGACTTCTGTCCGTGTTCGGCATGTCTGTTCCATCTGTCCTCCCGTCCGTTCGTTCCTGCTTCATCGGGCCGACATGCCTCTTCGATGCATAAAAACAAAATCCACTTTCCCTTCGCCCTGCTTTCTCCTCAAACCGAGGTCCCACCTCACTCCATCCTCTCCCTCCCTGAGTCGCCCACATTTGCTCCTTCCACGTCCTCACTCCTCAGGGCCTTGCACTGCGGTGCTGTCCCCATCGTGCCACAGGAGCCGCCCTCTCGAAAGGCAGCGGCGGCCCTCTGAGGCCTGAGGGGTCCGAGCAGAGGCCTCGTTCTCTCCAATCCTTCGGTACTTAACGCTGCTCCTGCGCTTCCGAGACAATGCTACTTGTTTTCTACCTGGAGTCATTTCTTCCCACCCACTCGTAGGAAAGACGTTCATGTGCTCCTGCCCTGCGCCATTCATTCATTCATTCGACCAACATCTGCTGAGTCCCACCACATGCCCGACACCGCGCGCAAGTCCCTGCTCTCAGAGCAACCACATCCGACTGGGCGGACAGAAAATAAATAAATGAAAATGAGCCAGTGCACGCAGAGAGTTGGAAGGGGTTAAAAGCAGGCGGGGGCGAGGGTGGGAAGGACCTTCGCGAGGCGGGCTGCTCTGGACCGCGGGGCGGGGAGAGCTCGCTCGCACGGAGGCCCGAAGGAAGTGCGGTGCGAGCCACACGTCAGGGAAGAGCCTGGCAAGCAGAGGGAGCCGGTGCAAAGACCCTGGGGGGGGCATGCACGGAGTGTGCCAGCATCTCGGGACAGAGCGAGCCAGGCGGAGGACCAGGACACAGAGGCAGAGATGGGCCAGGCCCCCGAAGGGTTCCCAGCAGCGAAGTGGCATAAGCTCACGTCCGTTTCGAAACGATGGCTCAGGCAGCCGTGGCGGGCACAGCCTGTAAGGAGTGAGATGCCTGCCTGCAAGGAGTGAGATCGGAAGCTGGGAGGCCCGCTGGGGAGACCGCGGTAGTCCAGGGGAGGGGTGGCGGCTAGCGACAGGGCGAAAGCAGGTGCAGTGTGGAGAAGTGGCTGGATTCTGGATCCGCTTTCAACAGGGACTGCTGAGACGCCGGATGTGCGTGTGCGCGAGAAGGGTTTGGGCGCGAGCAACCGGGATGTGGCTGACAAGGCGGGTTCAGGGGAGCTGACGAGGAGCTCGGTTTTCAGATGTCGTGCTTGGGATGCACGCCAGGTGTCCGGCAGAGACATCGTGTTCACCTGCACACACCACTCTGTAGTTCGGGAGAGAGGCGAGGGCTGCAGGTGCGAAGGTGGGAGTCTTCAAGCTCCAACGGGCACTTAACCCCACAGTCTAGACGTCTCACCTGAGATGGAGCGCGGGGCGGGGAGGGGAGGGACAGAGGTGCAGCGCCCCAGCCGCTGCACAGCGAGAGCACGAGGCAGAGCGGGCCAGTGTCGCGGGCAGTGGGCCTGGGCTCCAGGACAGAGAGCCACGGCGGCCTCAAATGCTGCTAGCAGGTCGGGCAAGGTGAGGAAAGGGAACAGTCACCGACCTTAGCGACGTGGGGCCATTTGGTGGCCTTCATGAGTGTGATTTTGGAGGAACAGGGGGAGTGGAAGCCTGACAGGGACGGCTCCAGGAGGGCGAGGGCTGGGGACAGCAAGCTGCCGCAGCTCTTGCAGAGAGCGCTGCCGTGGGGGCAGCCAGAGAGACAGACCCGAAACTGCGGGGAAGTAGGATCAGGAGAAGTGCCGTGTGAGACGGGAGAAACGACAGCAGCTGTGCGCCCGATAGGCACGCGGTGACTCGAGGCAGGAGAAACTGGCACGGCAGGAGAGAGCTGACAAGTGACGTCCTGGAACAGGCGAGAGGTCGCCAAGGGGCAGAGTTCTAGCGCAGAGCCCACCGCACGGCCTGGGACCCGAGCGCGGGCGATTCGCCCGCTGTGAAGGGGGCGCGTGGGGAAGGTGGGCACAGCGGAGGTCGGACGGCGGAGGTAGTGGGGGAGCTGGCGGGGTTCTCTTCTGATGACCTGGTCGCTTCTTGTCCCTTAGCGAAATGGTAGAAAGGTCCCCAGCAGGAGCTGGACACGCAGAGGAGTGCGCTGGTCAGGGAGGAGAGAGGGGAAGCGCGGACCAGTGGTTTGGGAGGCCGGGAGAGCGCGTGGGTCAGGGAAACGAAACATGAGCTCCCGGCAGCATCACGGCCGCCTAAGTGTCCAGCTCACAAATTCAAACTGAGCCCAGTGAGCACAACTGCCGATTCCCTCCACCACGCCCTCCTGTGCAGGTACGAGCGGGTGAGTGAGTTGGACTCAAGCCAGGTGGCGGCTTGTCCAAGTGAGCAAGACGCAGAGAGACAGGGGCAAGTGAGTCAGGAGTGCGTGCGAGGGGTGGTCTTAACAAAGGACTGTGGGGTCTCAGCTCACTCGGGAGGAGGCGAGGGCCTGCAAAGAGCGAGAGATACGGGGAGATGGTTACATCGATGGATTGTGGGCCCAGAGGGGACAGAAGAACTGTTGGATCCAGAACCTAGAAGGAGTGGGCCAGGAAGGTAGGGCCTTGGTGGTCAGGGTGAGACCTTTGGAACTGAGAGCCCTGGGGGCTGCGGTGATTTGTAAGATCAGCTTTGTGATTTGACCTGGCCAATCAGGGCAGTGTCCACTGTGAAGGGCCGAGTTTCAGTTAAAACAAGGTGCTGAAGGGACTGTTCAGAAAAGAGGTCGAAGACATAGCGGGCTTTGCTGATGATGGGCTGAGAATTCCGGAAAGTGTGTGGAAAGACGGTGCCCCTCAGACCACATTTCCTACACCCGACATCCTCTCAACTAGTCTCTGCTTCCTCCAGCCTCGTCTTCCCAAGAGGAGGAGCCGGCTGGGAGCCACCTGTCCCCAGGCCTTCCCTGGGCAAACCTGCAGCCCAGCAGGCCAGGTGCTGTGGTCTGGCCCCCAACTGCCTTCCCAAAGATGTTTCCCGCAAAGTCCGCATCCACCCAGCCCTCCAGCTCGTGGGGACCCACCCAGGACCTCCCCGCCTCGCTCCGTCTCTGCCGTGGAGATCCAGCTCCTCCCTCGGGCTCTCTTCACACCCAACCTGCTCCTCAGCATTTTCGCAGTCCCCCCGAATCGTCACTCATGTCTCAGCCCATTCACCTGTGACATGCTCCCGTGCTCCGTCCTAGCACACGACACACCTCTGTGCCTTGCGTGACAGTTACATCTTAGCCCCCCCTGCACTGAGGCCCTGAGGCACGGCCTGTGCTTACTTCTGCTTCTGACCACCACAGTGTCCTACACAGTCCCTGAACACAGGGGTTGTTGCCTAGTCAGTGGTTGAAGGTTTAATTAAATATACATTCCCAGAACACAGGAAAAGATTTGAAATAATTCTGCACCACGCCCATCTCAAGGCAATTGATGAGGTGATTGGTGAATGCTTTTTTACAATATCACCTCTGTGCACATAAAACTCTGAACCAAGTCCTCCCCAGGCTGGGGACAGCGGAGGGGAAGGGCCAGTCACCTCCAGGATCAAGGAGGAGGAAAGACTTCTCATGCCCACCTGGAAAAGTATAAATGCCTGTACTAACCCAAAACAAGCCCTGAAGAATATGAAGTTTTTAATCTATTCAGCTCTGAATTTGTTCTTGTTTAATTGCTATTCCTATGTATCAGAGGGGAAAAAGTTTTGTTCAATTATGTTTCAACGAACAAAAACAACAAAGAAACTGGAGCCTGGTTCAGCACGTGGCAAGTTGCAGAAGCCTGCCCCGGTCGCGCTGCGTTTCAGGCTGAGCCCTGTTCACCTGTGTGGCCCCCAGCGCCCCAGTGGGACGTGCTTGGAGAGGTTGCGAAGGGAAGACAGGAAGGGGCCAGGGGCAAGCCGCTCCTGACGTCAGATGTTCAGCTGTGGGACCAGAGCTCATCTCCAGGCAGGACAAGGCACAGAGCTTGGGGCTGAGACCCCATCTCCTGTGAAGGCTGTTCCCATGTGTCTAAGGCCTCACCAAGTTCTCTGACCTGCCACAGCTTTGCTCTCCAGTCTCAAGAGTACAGAAGGGGACAGGACCATAGACAGGGCAATGGAGTCACAGCACAGCAGTGCAGTACAGTGATGGTCATGCAGCCAGCCTGTGATGGGCGCCTCCCAGTGGAGGCCAGGGGCAGGAGAGGCCCCAGGTCCACAGCCTGCCCCAGCAGCCCCACACGCTGGCTCCGGCCCCCACTCACCCTGTACTTGTTGAGGTTGTGTCTCTCCACGCAGGCCCCCTTGAGGCAGAACTTGCCCTCGCCACAGCTGGTGCCGTCCGCCCAGGGGAAGTGGCGGGTCTGGCACACCATCTGGCCCTTGGCCTTGCCGGTGCACCACAGCTTGGTGCAGTACTGCATGTAAGGACAGGGCTTGGAGCCCACGCCAAAGGCCAGCTCACACTGCTGGCTCAGGGTGTAGCTGGTGCCTGGCAGGTCCTCGGGCAGGGAGATGGGCTTGCTGGGCTGGTCCAGGAGGCAGTCACCTGCAGAGAGCCACGGACATTCGTTAGGATGGGCTGTGGGAGATGAGGTTTGCCACCAGAACCTAAGTGGCAGAGAGAGAACGGACCAAGGGGCAAGTAGAATAGACTCATGTCAGAGTCCAACTCCTAGGGCTTCTGCCCACCTTAGGTACAGAGGACAGGCTGCACCTGCACCAGTGACAGCAGCGAAGCCCCTTCCCAGCCGGCTTTGCGCCCTCCACCTCCCTGGCTTACCGTGCCCACTGTCCAGGAAGTCGGTGACAATGGCAGCACTGCAGGCTGACCAGGGGTTGGCACGGTCGATCTGGATGAGGGTCGGGGACATCATGTGGTTGGCTCGGAGCTTCCCAAACACCTCCTCACACACCTTCACGTTGTCGTGGGGCATGTTGAAGACGTGGCCTGTGGGACAAGGCAAGAGCGCTCAGCGGGCAGGTGCCGGGGCTGTGCAGAGAAGGCCGCGGGGCGGGGTGGATGTTGAGGGAAGAACAGGGGACGCTCGAGAGCCTGTGTCCACGGTCTTCAGGCTGGGGTCATTTCCACCTATTGACAGACTGCTTTGCAAATGTCCTCAAGGTCATGTTCTTGTGGTTTCTGTCCCCTCCATCAGGCTGTGGGCTCCATGGGGACAGGGTGGGTCTCCTTGTCACTGACATATTCTCCCCATGGTGCCTAAGTGATGAGCCACTCTGCAGAGGTGCTCAGATCACATCACTGACCAACTGGGCTAGAAAAAACGAAACAAAGCCACCGCCAAGGCAGACTCGGGCCCTAAGAAAGGACCCCTGAGGCTTCAGAGCATGAGGGAGCAAAGACACACATCCTCCCACCCTCCAGAGCACCCCGTGCAAACCCAGAGGGGTCCCAGAGGGCAGCCTTGCTCCCTCTGCCCAAGAGCGCGCTGCAGCCTTACCCAGCTCATGGGCGGTGGTGAAGGCTGACGGGAGCCCATCATCCTCGATGACAGAGCAGCTTCTCTTGGGGTCACACATGGTGCCCACGTCAGCCATGCCCAGTGTGTCACACGTGGTGGCTCCACACAGGTCCTGCCGGGTGGGGGACAAGCAGAAGCCAGCCCAAAGTTAGAGACAGTGATAGAGGGACCTGAAGGGAAGAAAGGGCATCCGAGGACATTGCAGTCCATCCCATCCTCACCGGGCCCAGCACCGCCAGCCCCGCCCTTTTTCCCAGGGGGTTGTGGGGCATTCACGGAACCAACCGGGCTGAGGGAGGAGGCCCCAGGAAGAAAGTTCTGTGGCTCGCTGAGAAGTTTCTGCCCAAATCCTACCCAGGGCATTCCTCTGGGAGGAAATTAGGAGGTATGAAATTAAACTACAAGGGCCACTGCTTTATATAGAGACAGCCTTCCAGACCAGAAAAATGGTCTGGTCACAGCTCCCGGAGGCAGGTGGAGCTGGAAGGAAACCGCATTCCTCATCCAGCTCCCAGCAACCTCGGTCCTTGCTGGGACGCCCTCAGGACAACCACGAATTAAGTTGAGATTCTCAGCCAAAGAGTCACTGGCCGAAGAACCACCCCTGCCAGAGATTTGGCTTCCTCGGGCTGCGAGGAAGCAGAGTGAGGAGGACACGAGCCATCTGGACACAGCCCAGCTGGCTACAGAAGCTCCAAGGGACACAGGCTCACAGGCTGCTGGGAAGGACAGACGAGTCAAGTAGATCATAACCTAAGCAGAAAAGCCCCTCGTTTTGTGCTGAAGCTTAACTTGCTGCAGAAGCAAGGGCTTTGGAGACAAACCCTGGTAGGAAGTGTCTCCAGAGGACACAGGGGGCAGAATGGGGCTTCTGGGGTGGATATCGCCAAGAACTTACTGAGCATCACAGGTCAGCAACACATCTAGATCTCTTAAGAGCTCAGGAGTTGGAAATAGAATGAGACGCTTGTGTACACCCTGCTCCCCGTGAGAAGACGTGTTGAATCGGGGCTGCTGGCACTCTCTCCATGCTCTCCCTGCCGTTAATGCCCAGGGCACGCTACAGTCTATGAGAAACTGTTACACGCGTCACCTCATCCACTCCTCGTGGCAGTCTTATGAGGCAGATATACTGTTATATCTATTTGTCAAAGGTGCAAACTGGGGCTCATGGTCATAGTTAATTATGGCCAGGATTTATTACAGGTGACACTGTGCATGCACTTTGCACACATGACCCTATTTAATCTTCATGACATCCACTGAAACAGCTATGAGTATCACCATCCATAGACTGACGCTCAGAGAGGTTCAAGTCCCAGAGCAGAAACACGCACTGAGTGTCTGCACGACTCGGACCACGGTGCTCTTTCCCCCATGTCACGGCTACTTGTCCCGCAACTGCTGAGACAGCACTCAGAAGAAAGAGCTCTGCCATTCTCCTGCGGGAGCCAAAGGGTTCACATAAACACACACACAGAGCTGTTCTCCGTTTTCTTTCTCTTTAGGGCTGCGTGTCTGCACGCGTGTGCGTGTGCACGTCTGCAGGCGTGTGCCTGTGCTGGCATGGGGCGGAGGCGGCAGCAGCTCAGCGAGTGGAGCCAGGCAGCATGGGAGGAAAAGGGACCATAGTACAGAAAATCAGCAAAATTTAATCCAAAGCACTCAGAAGTTTACCGCCTGAGCAGTCAACTTGGCTTCCCACAGTCAGGTGACAGTCACACCTCCTAATGAGTTAACAGTTATCCTAAGGGCGATCAGCCTGCACCCAAGTTCACCAGTGTCAGCAGCAGGCAGCATGCAAGCCCAGCCCTGGCTGCTGCCTGTGCCTGCCCAGGGCACTTCTCCCACTCTGGGAACCCCACAGGGGACCTTAAATGCCCTTCTCTTCCCAGTTTTCCTCCCTCCTCAAAGACTCACTTTCCCAGAAAGCTCTCCTTCCCCAGAGTTCTGAAACTTAGAAAACAACCACTGTCAAAACTTGGGAGGGGCAGCTGGCCTACCCATCAGTTTAGGGAATGTGGCTGCCGAAGACACAGCGCAGCTTGTGAACCAGGGGCCAAGACCGGGAAGTAAGGGATGAAGGCAGGGCACAGTGAGGTGGGGTGGGCCATGGAGCCCGTGTGTCCCTAGATGCTAGAGTATAGGGTCCTGGCAAAGGTGAGGTCTCTGGAAATCCTACCCTGCTGGTTGCGGCCTGCAGGGCAGCCTGTCGGGCAGGCACACGCCACCCCGCACGCTCACTGCTGGCCTGTGTAAGAGAGAGGGCACAGGAATAAGAATCGAGAAGCCTAGTTTCTGGTCCTGGCCCCGTCACTAAGTACATGTGTGACTTGGGCCAAGTCCCTTCTCTCCTCAGGGCCTCAGTTCCCCGGTCTGGGGAAGAGCCAATCCTCAGCTAAAACTGTCCAGTGCTTTAAGCCTCTGCTCCTGCCCCAGTCCCCAGGCACTCAGCCCATTCTGGCCCTGTGGGTTATAAAAGGAACCCACAGAGTGAAATATTTTAGAATGGAAAGAACCCTAGGGAAATCTTGTCTACTGCCCCAAGTCGTGTAGCTGACAGCACTCACGCGCATAAAAGGCCAGGGCACCGCGTGGAGATTCGCCGTCCTGGCCCCATCTAGAAACGGCCAGACCGGATTGAGAGCCCGGAGTGGGATCCAGAGGGCTGCTGGGACCCAGCTGCCCCGCACCCGCCACTGTGGCTGGGAAGTCCTTACAGCCAAAAGGCTCCTTCCTCTCAGGGAGGGTGGATTCTCTCGGCAGCAAAGACATGCAGCTGCAGGCCCTTCCTGGCCAGGAGCAACCTGTTCTTTCCATCAAGAAATCCCGGCTTCCCTGGATCAAACAAGAGGAACAAGGAAAGAGCTGGCAGAATTCCTGAGGGTGAGGGTGTAGCTGAGAGCAGCCGCCCTGCAGAAACCAGCGCCTTCGCTGTGGGAAGACGCAGCTGTCTGGGGCCATGGGCTCTGCCTGGACCTCTTCCCCCAGTCAGGGACTCGATGCAGAACCGCTGGGCCTTAGTGCTTTGAACGCCCACGAGAGGTTGTACAGGGGCCCAGCGGGGCCTCATCTGTGGCTTCGAATGTCTCCACCCTTCTGGAAGGAACTCGGAGGCACTCAAATTGCCTTAACCTCTTCAGCTCAGGCGCTTGTCTCCAAAAAGCAGACACTGTTCCGGTTCTTTCCTCCTAGAGGGTGTAGGCATTTCCCAGCCCAGCCCCCGCCGGCCTCACTTTTGCTGACAGTTTGCCATTTCTCTGTGTAGCTGCAGCTGCTCTTCCAGATGACCCAAGAATTATCTTGGCCAAGAACCTAACACTCCGAGACTATTCTTTTCTAATTGTCTCTTCTTATAAAATAATTTAGGATTGGGGCCACAATTTGAATAAGTAAATAAGGATAACACCTTGCAGTGGCCTGATCTGTGCTCCCCAAAGTCACTCCAAACACACCCCCACCGTGACCCCCACTAGCTGCCTTCCTTGCAGACCTCCTTCCCACACCCTCTCATTTCCCAGGCCTGTACTGCAATGCTCGATGTTTTCCAGCAATGCAGACAGAGAGGGACCCATAAAAATCAAGCACATGAATTTTTTTATGTGGCCGAAGATGTACGCGTTCTTACGTAGCCAATTTCATGCTTCCACTGAAGTCCTAGGCATGAGAGCCAGGGCCCATCTTCAGGGACGCGTGACAGCATCCAAGCATTATATGCACGGAACTTCAGAGCTGTCCTCTCGTTTTGCAGATGAGGAAACTGAGGCACAGTGAGTTGAGATTATGCACCCAAGGCCACGTGGCTGTTAAGGGAAGAATGGGATCCTGCATCCAAAGCTGTGTTCTTTAGTCGAAATCCCACCACACTAGTTAGGGAACCATAATTACTGGTGAAAACACCCTGTGCTAGTAACAATACTTCCCCTTTAACTTGTTTCCCATCTGAACCTCTGCCATGCATCACTGCATTTCCTTGCCAGCCCAAAATCCATTTCTGTTTGTAATCCCCAAGGATGGGAGGATTGCTTTGCTAGAAGAAATAAAATCTAACAACTCAGTGCCTGGGCAATGTGACTAAGGCTGCCTGGTGGAGAAGAAAAAGGTAACACGCCCTGGAAGGTTAGTTACTTCTATTAGCAGATTCGGTTTCACTGGCGTATAACTCCCTCCAGATGTACAAAATGGTATTATTGCAAGAGACTGACGTAACCAAAACAACAAAAATTACCTCAATGAGAAAGAACAGGAACCCAAAGATTGCAGGAAAACTAAACCTTCTCTGAAAATCATCACTTCAAGAGAGAGTGCCCACCAAATATAATCATATCTAACATTTATCAAGTTGCTACATGTGCCAGACGCTGTTCCAAGAGCTCTGCCTGTATTAGCCCATTTAATCCTCACAACAGCTTTCTGAGGAAAATACCATTATCAAGTACCATCTTACAGAAGAGGCCCAGAGAAGGTAAGTAACTAGCCCGGGGCCACACAGGGAGTCCGAGGTTGGACAGAGAGGAAGAAGGCAGAGTGAGGACTGAAGTCCGGGCGGTGCAGCCACGGAGCTGAGCCCTCACGCGACTCCCTACTGCTCCTGGTGCACGTCACCCCAGGAGGAAGGGACCGGGGAATCCCAAGACGGAAAGATTGGCCACCCCATAGTACCTCTCCCTAGAGCTCAAGCTAGTGCTGGTTGACACAGGGTGGAGAGGGTCCCGGGGAGAGGGAGAGGCGGGATTCGGTGCCGAGAGTGCTCTTCACGCAACGTCTGCGCCTGGCGGGCTGAGCAAGCTGCTGGCTCCTTGCCCCACACTTGCGCTGACACAGTGACCCCGTCCCTGCTGTGCACCCTGTCTGCTGACTCCAAGGTGGATTAGCGCACTCCTCTCTGGGGCCCCCTTTCTCCAGGGCAAAACCTGATGGCAAAGAGCCAAGATGAAATGCCAGAAGAACCTAAGACTACCTCTCCCAACCCTGCAGCCAGACAGCCTCGAAAGTCAGATTAACGATCCCAGGAGAGGAGGTGAACAGTCTAAGCACCCACAGCCACAGGCAGGCCTTGCACCTCCGTCTGCGCCTTCCGTCCACGATCGCTTACTGAACGGCAGCGTGCAGGGGCTGCGGGGCCCCGTGTGGGGCTCGCAAAGACGTAAAGAGGTCCCTGCCTTAAAGGAGTTTACAGATCGCTGGGACTAGCAAATGTTAGTGTCCACAGTTTCCACACAAAAACAGGAATCTGTAATCAGACAAGCGTTAAGTACACTGGTAAGAGCAATGGGACAGAATACTTTAAATTGGGGCTACCCCAAATTTAAATTCTGGCAAGGGATCTGTAGGTAATTATCCAACAACAACAAGAAACATATACTTCTGATAATAATAACTGCCACATTGGGAGCCATTTCTGAAACACGCAGTAACTTATCTTTGCAACAGCCCTTAAGTTAGGCATCATGTCATCACCATTATCCTCATTCTAAGGATGAGGAAAGTGAGTTCAAATTGCTGATTAAGTCAATGTCCATTGCTAGGAAGTTGAAGCACCCGAATTCAAACTCAGGTCTGCCTGCCTGTGTTCTTTCCACTGTGCCACATGCCTGAGTCAAGGCGTCAAGGCAAGGTGGGGTGGGGGAGATGTGAGCAACTACAGAGAGGTTCAAAGGCGAGGGAAGAGCAAGACCTAAGGAAGGAGAAAACCTCCCTTGACTTCCTGACTTAACCAGTGGTTAAAAAAATAGGCCAGGCACGGTGGCTCACACCTGTAATCCTAGAATTCTGGGAGGCCGAGGTGGGAGGATTGCTTGAGCTCAGGAGTTTAAGACCAGCCTGAGCAAGAGCAAGACCCCGCCTCTACAAAAAATAGAAAAATTAGCTGGTTATGGTGGTGCGCACCTGTAGTCCCAGCTACTTGGGAGGCTGAAGCAGAGGCTCACTTGAGTTGAGGAGTGTGAGGTTGCAGTGAGCCATGATGACACCACTGCACTCTAGCCAGGGCAACAGAGCGAGACCCTCTCAAACAAATAAATAAAAAGATTACCTCCAACCTTCCTCCCCCATCTTCCCACACTACCCTACGAGACAGGGAACAAATCATATTCCACTCCTTCCCCCCTCTCTTCCCACCTCTCCCCTCCTCCCTCCCAGAAGGAATGGGACTGCGTTTCCATTTAGTGACCAAGAATGACAAACTATTCAATATCAAACCTACCTTCGGCCTCTCTCTCCTAAAATCTTCCAAGGCCTGACTTCAAAAAAGATCCTAATGATACCATGATTCCTTTTTATTACATTGGGAGATATATGTAATATATTTATTATCACTTCATTATTAACTTCTTTTTAATCTGGACACTAAATTTCACCGTCCTATCGCAAGTGCGTTACTATCCTTTCACGTCCTTTCTGGAGGGTTCCAGAGTGCTGCTCCACGCTGCACAGCACAGAGCATCCACGTACGGAAATGGCACTGCTCAAGGCCAAAACGAGAAGATAGCAGCAAGTGAGCACGACAAGGTCAGAGCGTGAATGAAGAAAGTAAGACAGAACAGAAAGACGAAAAAGAGCCTGCCTGGAAGATCCCAAAAGAAGAAGATGAGAGTGTGGACGAAGAGAGTGAGAGGAGGAGAAGGCAACCTTCTGCTAAGGCGCCAAGCACACCTTACTGTAATTAGCTGTCGCCACGTGGGCTCCCCACACACAGTGATTCCTGGGGCCCTGAGGCCACATCTTATTAATATTTGTAGCTCCGCAGCCCAGGACAGTACCTGGAAATACTAGATGCTCGGTAAGTATTAAAATAATGTACAAATAAATGAATGAAAGCCATTCCACCACAAAGGGTTGCCCACACGGCGTGGGACCTAAAGCCCAAGCAGTCGCAGGGAGCGTGGGCCCATCGAGCCTCAGCAGTACACGTCTGGCTCCTGCCACCCAGAGCAGCAAGAAGCCAAAGGAAATTTTCTCCTCCCAGAAATAAATGAGAAAGACTCTGGCTCCAATTCTCTGCAGATTCTGGTTCCAATCCTGTGCTGACCTCACCCTGCTGTTATGAGCCTGCAGGCCAATCGCTTTGAAAAATTAGATGTGCACTCTTTCTCCGCGAACTTACTCTGAATCTTTAAGTAAACTCCCCAAATTGTCAAAATATTTGTTGTATGATCAATGTATTCTCCTTTCCAGACAGTTAAGGCTCCTGGAGACCACATCTGACTTAGTCTAGGAAGAGCAGCTGTTCGCTGGTGTGCTCATGGAACACTGTACCTTCCTCCCAGGGGAGTTCGGGAATGAGAAGTTCCTGAGACTCTCAGAATGCAGCAGGCCCTGAAGTCTGTGCTGCTGAGGAGGTGGGGAAGAGGTGTTTGCTCTAAAGCATAAAGCACGTACCTTGACGATGGACCTGCCAACACAGCCGCCCCACTCTCTGGCTTTGCCCTCTAGACGCCTAAGGGAAAGACAGCTTCTAAAAGTCACATCTCGTACATCACTGCTTCTGACCCAGTGGTCACGCATCTTGTACCCATTACGCATGGACAACATAGACCCCTGGGGGTCTAGCACACCCCACTGAGAAGCAGAAGCTGTCGCGCTGTTTGATTGCTTCTTCTTCAAAAGGCGGGATCCTTCTGGCAGCATGGCCCATGTTCCAGCAGAAGTCTTCTTCCTAGGGCTGGTTCCAAAAGCCAGCCTTAGCCACCAGGCTGCAGAGACTGAGGTCTGTAACTTTCAAGCCAGTGAATGACCTCCACAGGGGCATCCCGGATGGGGCAACAGCTGCTTTGCCCATTAAGATATCCTGTTTGTGGCCTTTGCTCTTTTTTCCAGCCCAGCAATCTGACTGCCGAGCTGGTCTGTGTGCAGAGGTCGAAGCCACCTCCTCTGCAGTCCTCCATGACTCAGGCAGTGCTCGCAGGGGCTGGGCAGTGGCAGCTCAGCAGACCTCACTTGGAAGAATGAGAGCAAGGAAATAGATTCAGGCCAAAGACCTCCCTAGAGAAACCAGGTGGTGGGAGGAGAAGAAGGCTGGGAAAGGAGGAAGTTCAACTCCAGGAAGGGACTAGCTGTGCCAAATGGGTTACTGTGGAAGACTCCAGCTCCAGCCCGTGTGCGCCAGTCCAGCTCTGAGTGGCCATGTGGAAACAGTGGAGGTTTAGAGCCCCAGAAGTAACCAGGGAGTCTCTGCCATCCCCAGAATGCTGTGGTTTTGATAATGACAAAACAAGAGCATGGCGTGGATGAAAGTCACAGCCCCTAAGATCAGAGGAAGCAGATCACTTGCACGGCCCTTTTCCTCCCAGCCTCTTGTATCTGAGAAATCTCAAAATCCAAAACCTTTACAGGGCCTGATCACTCCAATTCGAGACAGAATACAAGCAAAGACTTGAGAAAGGCAGAGCTGCTTTCCCGGTCTGGGTCCCTCTTTCTAATCCCAATACTCAGTATCTTTCTAACCCTGCAGCTGGAGTCTCGAGATGTTCTTGACTAAGCTCACATCACTTCCACCCCAGCAAGGGCAGAAGGTAGAGCCCGGCAGTCAAGTGTGGTCGTAAGAATTTCAGTGAGTTGGGAGCAGGAGGAACCTTGCCTTCTCTGCTCTGCGGTGTACATCTGGGCAAACGAGTCACGCTTGACAACATTTGGACAAACTGGAAGAAGAGATTTTCCCAACTCAGCTCCAAGTGAAACTCCACTTGCAACTCCAAGTGAAACAGACCCAGCCCCAAACAGGTGCTCTAACTAAACTGCCTGCTCGGAATGATCTGGAAGCCCCGGGACAAGGCCCAGCAGAGAAGGGAGCAGGAGAAACAGCAGTGAAGGAGGGATGTTCCCAACACTTGTCTGGCCTTTTACTGCAACCCACAAAATATCCCAATGATTCCCTCCATCCAAACCCTGGTTTTCCGAACCCAAGACAGAGTGAGGACAACATGTGACCCACAGGAAATGTAGCAGGTGCTGACCTTGGACCACATTCCCGTTCCACAGCCAGTGAAAGGAAGCCTCGCAAGAGGTGCCTGAGAGGACTTAGACGCCCCACACGACCGGGGCTGACGGTTCCCACCTCTTCAACACCATCCTCATAGCGCCTCCTATCGGCTGTGGAGACAAACTGCGGCTCCGGGGCGGCAACTTCTTGGGTTCCAGCCCCTTAGCGCCCGATCCAGGAGGCGCTGATTGGCCGCGCCAGGCCAACACCTTCGGAAAGAGCGGCGCTCCTCCAGTGGCCCCGACGCACGTGAGCCCGAGCTCCGCGGAGCCTAGGAGAGGTCTCTCCCTGGGTGCTCCAAAGTTGGAGTGGGAAAAGATCAACGAAATTTAAATTCGGGGGCACTGAGCGGCACAAAGGGGATTTGAAGCTCTAATGGTAGTGACCCTAAGAGAACGGGGCTATCTGGGTACAAAGAGGTGGCAGATCAACTCACCTGCCTGGTGAAGAGGATGGCAGTGTCCCAGTACTCAGGGTGCTTGTCACTCACTTTGTTCAGCTTCTTCTGCCAGGCGCAGAAGTTGCGCAGAGTCAGGGCCGCGTTGCCCGTGACCTTGGGCCCGGTGTCACGGTCTCCGAGAAGCAGCACCTTGACCACGACGATGTTGATGGGGTTGAGGATGCTGGGGTGGCGGTAGAGTCGCGCCGCCGTGGCCAGCAGTGTCAGCAGATAATGCTCCAAGTCCGCGCGGTGGAACTTGACCATGGACTCGTCCGCCACCACCAGCGTCTCCACGTACCGCGGGATAGACACGAAGCGCTTGGCGCGCCCGGACCTGCGCCGGCTGCGATTCTCCCCCAAGCGCGCCCGCTGCGGATTGTAGGGGTCCAGGGCCCGCAGGATGGCAGGGTTCCAGCCTGAGGCCACCCCGCAGCGAGACGTGGGGTCTCCGGAAGGCCCGCCGGGGCTACCTCGGCGCTGGAGAAGGTGCGCGCCCTGGCCGTTGCGCTGCGCCCCCGGCGCGCTCGCGTTGGGCAGCGGGCTAATGACATACTCGGCGCCTCGGTAGCCGAAGGCTCCGCGAAGCCCCCCGCACAGGCTCACAGCGACGAACGAGTCGGGCTCGGCGTTCACGTCCCCGGAGTAGAAGCAGCGTCGCAGGTCCGCAGAGCTCCCAGTGAGCCCCTGGAGGGGGCCTCCCAGATGCTCAGTGGCGAAGGCGGGCGCCAGAAACTGAGCATCCGGCGTCAGGTGTAGGTAAAAGTCCTCCTGAAATGCTGCGATCTGAAAAATGAGTCCCTGATCCCCGGAGTCCTCGGGACCCCCCCGGTAGTAGTGGCGGCCGTTGATGTCCGGGTCCAGTCGGATGGGAACGACTACCTCCCGCTCTGGCTCAGAGCCGCCAGCGGGTGGCCCGGCGAAAGCCAGGGTTAAGATGCCCAGCAGAAGCATGGCGCCGGGCCGCGCACAGCTGCGCTCTGGGAAGGGGCTTGGCCCGGCTGCCCGGCCGCGGACACGGGCTCGGTGCAGCCAGCACACCGGAACCACCAACGCTCCTGGACAGCCGGCAGCTCCCAGAGAGGAGAGCAAAGGGAGGGAGACTCCTCCGGGAGCAGTGAGCGCGCACCGGGCAGCCCGCGCCTCCTACCTGTGCCTTTGCAAGCAAAGCGCGCCCTGGGAGCTTAAGTGCAATCGCTGTCAAGTGCAAGGGCGAAAATTTGCAGCCGAGAACTAGCGGGAGGTGCCGGGCGGCTTCTCGAAACCGCAGCCACTCGCAGCGCAGCAAACCAGGCGCTGGGTGAGCCTATTAAAGGCCCCCTCCTCTTTGGACTGCCCAGTCGGCGCCCCTCCCCTCTTTCCCCTCCCAGCCTCCCAGAGCTCGCAGCCCCGAGCCTCCAGGGGCCACCCGAGAACTCGGTCCCGCCTCCAGAGCGGAGAGCCACTTGGCGGGGAGGGAGTGGCGTTGAGCTGAGGCAGGAGGCGTGGGCTGGCCAGAGAAACCAGCGCTGGAGTCTAGGTTCGCGTTTTGCCCTCTGTTATGCCCCAGTGCCTTGACACATCAGTTACTTCTGCCCCGGTGGCCAACTACCCATCCTCTGGGTCTTAGCCTTTATCTCGACGCAGCTCAGGTCAGGACTTACGAATGAGGACTCACCGCTGACCCCTCCCCAGGCCCTCCTCCTCTCTCCTGTTGCAACATTCCTGCTGTTTCTTAATCACAGCGTCCCCCTAGAAAACCCAGAATCAAGAATTCTCCCTGTAAATGTCCTATTGCCAGAAGAGCAACTTCCCAGGAAGGTGGAGAGCCCTTCTCAAACCCAGGGCTGCCTGCGCCCAGCGTCCACCCTGGGGTCATGGTGTGCTGTATGGGCTGGTGCAGACTGTTCAATTTTTAGGAATTTTGCCAGCCAGCTGTTAAATAGCCATTTTTTAAATTAAATTATATAAACTCACAATTAAACAAATTCTATTTTAAACAAAGGCAATCAATACTCAAAACCCATCTCTTCCTAAGTATTTTACTTATTGTCTATGCTCTTGAGCCACTGGAGCCACCAACCCTCTGGGACAGTGGTCAAAACCCAGAAAAGAGAGCGGAGGGAGGTGGACCATGAGGGAAGTACTAAGTGGAGTGCCGCTCTGCACCTCCGCACTCAGAGCCATTACAACTAACCCTCGAAAAAGCGATCCGATGCATCTATACCACCTGCATAGGCAAACGCTACCAATCAGGGCTTGAGGGCTGGGGGAGACGAGTCCCAGTTAAACATTTACAGGCAGGAAGGGGATGTGGAGAGCAGGTGCCGGGGCTGCAGGTGCAAGAGAAAGGGATTGTCTTCCTGCCAGGAAGGGGCCAAGGGACGGGCAAACCGTAGAAAAATCAGACGGCGCTTCTTCCATGGATTCTCTGCTTTGGTTGTCACCAAGTGTCGGCCAGGGCACTGGTCGAGGCCGAGCACGGATCAGCTGGAGAAGATACAGTAAGCCGTGAGTCCTCACTCGTGTGAAAGGAGCCCCGCTACAGGCTCTCGGCCTCAGGATACCCCCTGTCTCTCCAAAAATTGACTTCTCTCTCTGATGAGGAAGAAAGAGGCTTTCCTACTCCCTCCTGATGCCTAGAAAATCTTTCTGGAACCAAAGGGCTCTGGTTTGAGTTTGCAAGAGGAAAGGACAGGAGAGGGGAGTGTGCAGTGCTTTTGAGCATAGAAGGGGTGGTGTGGAAGAGTTTTGGGATTTTCTTAGGGAAGTGGCTGCTCAAATAAACAACTCTATTGTTGAAGGAAGCGGGGACCGCTGCGTCTTTTTGCCCATTATCTTCTCCCCGTAAAGGACCCACTCTTAGAAGAGCCCCTAGGGGCCTTGGAACAGGAAGACGGCTCAGATGCCCATGATTCTACTGGGCCCCCCCCTTGACTGAGACTCAAAGAGCTGAAAGTCATTATGTGACTGAGTAAGAGACGGGTGTTTATCTGAGAATGAAAGGGAGAGTACCATATGGGAGGACTGTGGGTGAGAGAGTGGGAGTTCAAGTTTACAAAGGCCCTGTGTGTTTGAGTGTTCGAAGAAGGCCTATAATTAAAGAGAAACTCAGACAACCAAGGGCAATGATAAGTCACTTATTTAGGGCAAGTGACTGTTTTCCTACACCTAACAGTTTAATGGAGGCTTGCAAGGTTTCCAATGACATTTTACTGTCACTGTGACCAGTGGGTTTTGGCCAGAGCTGCAGCACGTCAGTCAAGAGAGCAGCAGGCCCAGGCAGAGGATGCCCCTCCCCACCAGCGTGCTTTGCTTCTCCTTCCCCAGTCACAGCCTGACTGTCCTCACCCCTGAGCACAGAAACTGGCCACATGGCATTGCTCCAAGCCGTTAGCGTGTCTTGCACACTTACTATGTGCGAAGCACTGCACCTAGAGTTTGACGTGCATTATCTTAATTAATGCCTGCCCGTCCCCCTTGGGAACCTGTAGTTCCATCCCGTCAATTTTGCCAGGGGCTCCTAACCAGGAGTGGAGGATCTAGGGACATGCTGGGCGCCTGAGTATAGGTGAGGAGCACTCAGGATTGACACTCCATTTCCATCACTGATCGATTCTCAGCCTCTGCATTTCCTCATCTGCCAAAAGAGGAGAGATTACCCTAGATCAGAGGTCTTCAGTCAGAGGACTGCATCAAAAACCTCTGGTCTAGATAACAGCTAAGATCACTTCCAGGTCAAATATTACGTGACTGTTTGAGGCCTATGGGAGCAACACAGCGTGATGAGTAAGAGCCCAGGGTCAGAGGTCCTGTGTGCGTCCCTCCACCAGATCTGAGTTGTGCAATCTTGGGTAAGTTACTGTATCTCCCTAAGCCTCATTTTCCTCATTATTAAAATGGAGCTAATAATACTACCCACCTCCTATAGTTGTTGTGAGGATTAAGGGAATTAATGCTTCCAAAGTGCTCAAAGTACATTGAAATAGTTCTTTAATGTTATCTAATGGTACTGTTAATATCCTTATTAGCTGTTATTAGTACTACTGCTTCTACTACCAAGCTTTACGAGGCCCTCCAAGACCATTGCCATCATCATCCTCTGAAGGTTTTTGGGATTCTTAATAGGGAAGGGAGAAAAGCTAATAATGGGTGTGTCCTCTCCCAGCTCCGCTAGGGGACTTCCACATTGGCTCAAAAGTCCTTCTACACTAGGACTCCACAGCTGCCACCCACTTGCTTCTCCTGTCTTTTATGATCTCAAGATCTTTAGGAAATGAAAACGCATCTCCCTATCGACGTATGAGGATGAAAGGAAAAAGAAAAAAAAAGCAACTCCCTCCCAGGTAACGGTTGGGGGCCTAGGCCTTTATGCCCTTCACCCACAAGGCTAGTCTCAGACCACATGCAGCCCCCTCAAAGGAGCCTTCCAGGGCCACCCAATCTAAGAAGTCCCAAAGCACAACCATGATTGCATGTTTTATTTTTTCCGTTAGCATTTACCTCTATCTAAACCTATTTTGTTCATTTCCATCTTTCCTTTTTTTTTTTTTTTTTGAGAGAGAGTGTCTCTCTGTTGCCCAGGCTGGAGTGCAGGGGCACAATCATAGCTCACTGCGACCTCGAACTCCTGGGTTCAAACGAGCCTCCTGCCTCGGCTTCCTGAGTAACTGGGACTACAGGCGTGGGCCACCAAGCCCAGCTAATTGGATCTTTACTTTCTTATTGCCTGACTTCTTCCCACTAGAATGAGAGTGGAAACTTATCTGTCTCATTCATTATTAAATCCCCCAGGGCCTGACACAGTGCTGGGCACACAGGGACCCTCTATAAATACCGAACGAATGAAATTAGACCCGATTCTAATTTCAACTTGGTCACTGGCTATATGTAAAACTTTGGACAAGACCTTTCATCTCTAAAATAGGGAAAGGCTACGTCACAGAGTGGAGTGCCTGGAATAGCGCTCCCACAATGATTAGTTTCCTGCCCTCTCGCCGATCCTCAGCCCAGTGTGCTGGTCACCCAGCCCTCGTTGCAGACTTGAAAGGGCGCAGGGCCAGAGAGAGGAAGTTACTTGTCCAAGGCTACCCAGCCGGCTGCTGTGCTCATCTCATGAAATCATTTCTCTTTGCTCTTTACCTGCAAACCTGCCTCTGGCTAAATTAATTCTCTTGGCTGCTTGTGCTCAGAAGCTGTTATCTCGGCATGCATATCTGTGTAAGCCATTTCTCCCAAATGGCTCTCTCGACCTCCTCCGTGCCTACCCAAACAACCCTCACCTCCTACAGGAAGCCGCTTGATTTAACTCACACAGCTCCAGGTGCTCTTTTCCCTTAGTTCCTCTCAGCATGTATGTATTCCATTTCTAGCACAGGATGTTCAGTTTGAACTTGCTTGCCCTTTGCTAGTTGTGTTAAACCTTCTCCTGAGATGGGGCCACGGCCACGCTGGATGGGAAACTCGTCAGAAGCAGGGCTCCCTTTCCTTCTGTAGCAGTCCCCATGGTAGTGCCCAAAGGACTTGACTGCTTGGCTGAGCCAGGAGCTTGCAGGTAGCAGATTAGCCCCAAAAGGTGATGTCCCGAGGCCAGAAGGAAGCAGCCACAGGATTGGGTTTGGAGACTGAGATTTCACTTCTTTCAGCTCCTGATTATCCACCATCATCAGGACCAAGGATGACTTCTGCCCACCTATAAAGTCAAGCATCCTGGAGGGTCTCCCCAAAAAGGAGAAAAGAATTAAGGATAAAATGAGGGTGTGGGGGTGGATGAGCACTGTGATCCAGGCAAGATTTTAACAGGAAGGGAAGTGACTGCAGGAAGTCTCCTGACTCCCCAGATCAGATTTAAAGCAGGTTTTATGCAGCAACATGAAAAAAGATTTACAAATTTATCTTTTTTTTCGTGCTTTACATCTTTATCATTCTTTGTCAAAGATCCCTAAAAAAAATCCCAGATGTGTCTGATCTGCTCT